TAGCGGAGTCAGTGATTTATTTAAATGCCCATCTAAAAGCAACGACACACAACTGGTCCCTTAAGGTGGGTGACAACATTTTCCAATTTTTGGAAGCACTTTGATGGACCGAGATAACCCGAATTCCAATTATGCTCCCCCTTGCGGCGTTTGACTTGGTAAATGCGGGTATTTTCAGTAGTTTTTTCGAGAAAACTTTAACTTTGATAAATCATGATCAATACAACCAGAATCAATTACTCATTTTTAATTTCCAAAACCCGTTGCCTCCAAAACGATGCCGAAATTAAACAGAATTGGTTTTATTGCTTGAAAATAAAATTAGATTTATTTTTTAGTCTTCCTAATAATTGTAATTGTATCACTTTATTTATACACGGTAACATAATCATCAGGCAATAAGGGTTTAAAAAATCAACAAATTAAAGCTATTAAAAAATTGCAAAAATAAAATGTGCCTGCTTTGCATGAATGTCGTGCAGGATGATTATCGTCCATATTTCTAAATCAAATACGGCAGCCGGAATTCTGCTCGGATCTGAGCACACCCTCGATGGAAAGCAATTTTCTGGTCAGGTAAGTAACAGCAATTTGCCACTCTGACAAGGAAACTGGACCGAGTTAACGTTCGCAAAGACTTCTGAGGCTGTTAAGGGACATGGACATCAATCTAGCCAATAGCTGACCAGCACATCCCCAGTAACGATCCCAGAAACAATTACGGAGCACGTTTCGTTTCTAGAGTGGCGAATGACATGAACTTTTCAGTTTCTTGTACCCAGGACACCATGGTGGGTCAAGGGCACAAATCCGCTGGCCAAAACGATCGCCCAGGATAATATTGCCTACTTTGCAACTGTATTAGGAATTGAGCTAAGTCAGTCGCGTTAAATGTTTTAATTGCAATACTGATAATAATAACTGAGATAAAAAAGGTGATTTCGAAGGCAAGCATCTCCTTTGGTTTAGACCCTCAATGGGGGGGTCGTTCCCCTGACCGTGAATAACTGTGAACGTTTGCTATTTTTCCCAGCTTCATATGGTATTTGGCGGCCCCGGAGAAGAGCTAGCAGTTGTAGCCCTTTGGATTAAGGTACACTTGGCATCTCCTTATCTGGCTATCCAGAGAATAATCCCTGTGAACAAATAGAAATCTAATGCAGTTTTCCGTTTCAATAGTCTTTTTAAAGTTTTCATATATAGTCTGCAAAACACGGGGTTTATATGACCCTCCAGGAAGAAAAAAAAAAAAATAGAAAACAGTCCAATGGTTCATGATCAATTACAAATTAAAAGTGCTCAGGCGTCAATTTATACAAGAATACCTTTATTGTGTCCTTTAAATTAAGAAAAAAAAAACAGAGGAGAGAGACCGAAACTAGTGTAGAGACCACGGAGACTTCACAGCTACAGGTTTTCTCACCGAATATGTCTGTTGCTCGAAATTGATGTCAGGAAAAAAGGATATTAATAAAACAATGAAATAAATCTTAGAACAGTGTAGAAGTGGAAAGGTGGTAAATGAAATGTTACAAATCAATAAAACAATAAAACACATTGGCAATCACGAATAATATTTGGTATGAGGTTTGTAGTTGGCTGCATCTAAGCAGTGTAGTGTGATGAAATATTGCAAATCACATGAAATTCGACGTATTATATTGAATTATTTACAGGCACCCTCTAAAGGAAACAAAATTTTTGGAAAGATAGCAGATCTGACGCAATCCATCCTCCCCGTTGGTAGGTATATCAGATTACTAACTTATAAAAAGGTCAACACGAAGAACATGTAAACAAATCCTAACTGACTCCCTTATAGCTTTTGTTCTCCGTTAATTGGCAATCAGCAACCTCCCCGCCCCCTCTTACTCCCACACTTGCACACTTTATCAGCAATCATTCAGTTATCCTTTAAACTCCAATATCCAAATGCAAATTCTCCCGGCCGATCTCCATGCATTTCCTTGAAGAATAGGTTGAGAGATGTTGTTCAAAGATCAACGCACTTTCTGTTTGGCAATCATTTTCTTAACCTATGCCCCAAAATTTGATTCACACCAAATTTAGTTAGTGCAAATATGGTGCAAACAAAAAATCAATTTTATACCGTAAAATCAAGGGTAAAGATGGTAAATACCTCATTTGCCCTCGAATTTACAACCCATGTAAACTGTGATGCAAAGTCGGTATTTACCATCTATGCCTTTGATTTCCTCCTAGTTTGCACTTTTTTGTGCTTTATTTGTCTCGAGCAAATATTTGCAAAACTGTAAATTTATGTTTTCACTGTGATTCACATGACCTGGTTATCTTGTTTGTGCATTGATGTTGCTAGTAAAAAGATGATGTTGGTTTAGGCCTTGGGATATAAAGGGTTCAATAATGCTGAAGTCACAGCTCAGTGAGGGAGAATGTCGTTGCTCTAGTTGCTTACATGATACTTTAATTATAATTTTAGGTTGGTACAATTTTAGTTATATCTTGTTATTTTACCATGTTTAAACATCACTAAAGAATGACAAAAAAAATAATCATTTTAGTACAAAAAGTGAAATAAAAAATAAAAGTTGTTGAGCTGCTTTTCTGCCCTCTTTAAAGAGCTCCAATTTGCGAAAACAAATTTTAAACAAGACTCGGGAACACGTCAGAGCTCTGCCTCGTTCATAGGCGTGTCAAGTGCTTAGTAGAAAAAGCGGCTGCGAGCGATCAAGGTCCATGGGATGGTTAAGTGTTGGCGCAAGAGACTCTGGGAAGGATGGGCGTTTTCTTCTTCGCTTTTCCCATGATCCCTTGCGCGGAACTAGAATCGCTCCAGTCGATCTCGATCACCTATCCCGGCGGGAACGCGCACTTGACCAGGTACGAGGCATCTCAGATCTTTCACTCGCATCGAAGAAAAATGTGTGGCCCAGCTACTTGAACGTTAAGGAAACAATTAAATGTCACCCTATTTTACAGGTAAGACTCATACTGTGGAAAAGACGGATGGAATCTATCTTATGGATCTGATTCCCCAAAATTGTGCAAACGGCAATGGCAATGGTAATGGCAATGGAGGTAATGGTAATGGCGGCAATGGTAATGGCAACGGCAACGGCAATGGTAATGGCAATGGTAATGGCAATGGAGGCAATGGTAAAGGCAATAGCAACGGCAATGGTAATGGTAATGGTAATGGTAATGGCAATGGAGGCAATGGCAATGGTAATGGCAATGGCAACGGCAATGGTAATGGCAATGGAGGCAACGGCAACAACAATAAGAAGGACCCCAAAAGTTTGACTTTACAATGTTACTACAGTTACGAGGGTTCCCTCACTACGCCTAAATGCTTTGAAACAGTACACTGGATAGTTGTGAAAGATTATCTCCTGGCCTCTACCAGGCAGGTAAGTAATGCTCGCTGACTTGAATGACTGACTTAGCCCAAAGAGAGCTTTCAGTTTACAATTAAGATTGGACACTCTACAGGTATGCTAAGATACGGGACTAGATCTGGTTAAGACCGTCATGGCCAGTGTCACAATAGCATGACCGATCTTCGTTTTATTATACGTACGGAAATTAAATGCAATAGCCCATTGGTGGAGAACTTGGGAATGTAACTCTGCACTCTCCCACTCTTAGAGAGTTCGTTTTTGTGGTTCAGTAGGTTAGAGGAGAAAAATTCTACTTGTATTTGCGTTAAATACGGACCATTCCAGGATACACTGAAATTGTCAATGTACTACCAACAAACTGGGCTTGAAACAGATGACTATGCATCGAAGGTTGCTATCAGACCAGCGTTTCGACTTTTCGGTTGCAAAGCTATAGACATTGAGAGTGTTAGTTCAAATTGTGCTAGAAACAACTAACTTAAACCAGATGATGGGTCGTAACTTTCCTTACTTGATATATTTTTCGGTGTTTCAGCTAAAGGAGTTCAGGAAACTTAAGGGTGAACATGGTAGAAAGCCTCCACTCATGTGCGACAACTACAGACCAATCCAACCACTGAATGACCGCACTGTTTACTCTGTCACAAAGAACGATTAGTATCAACTCCATGTGTAATGAAACAGATGAAGAAAACGTTAGCACTAATTATAATGGTAAACGTAAGCAGGCACTGTAACATTTGTTTAGTCAAACCCCGTTAATACGNCTGTTTACTCTGTCACAAAGAACGATTAGTATCAACTCCATGTGTAATGAAACAGATGAAGAAAACGTTAGCACTAATTATAATGGTAAACGTAAGCAGGCACTGTAACATTTGTTTAGTCAAACCCCGTTAATACGGACACTCTGAACACTCAGGGGGCATAGAAAGACTGAGTGTCCGTACGAACGGGGTGTCCTTTTTGAGGGGGTTGAATTTAGGGAAAATATAAGGGCTTTCTTTCCCCAGGGACAAAGCAAACTGCTCGTAATAATGAGATGTGCGTATTGAGCGGGTATCGGAAAGCGGGGTTTGACTGTATCTAAAAAGAGACAATTTTAGAGATGATACTTAAAGGAAACCGCAAATTGCCAGGAGCAGCCAACGACCGCTTTACAAAATTGATTGTACGAATAGCCTGTTCAAGCGTTTTTATTGCTCGGAAAATGGAGTCCGGTTTATATCGAGAGACCCTCATTTCCGGGGTAACCTAGGGTGACTCGCCCAGCTTAGTCAACTTTAACGAGCGTTTATATGGGAACTGCAAACGAAGTTGATCCCTTCGTGTGAACTAACAATGCTCCCACGTGCTCTGATTGCCTCGTTAAGCCCGAGTTGACCCGGCTGGGCGAGCCAAAGTTTTTTACATGGAGAAAAGTTGGCCCGGCTCAGAGGGTGACCCTACTACAATCACAAAAACTTGATCCGGCTAGGCGGGGTCTCTCTTCTAAACTGGTTCGCCACGTTTTGTAATGAGATGGTGAAAAATTAGTTGGCTCGTCCGCCAAGGTAGCTCGGGTAGGCAAGTGACCTTTCTATCTGGGGCAACTTTTCTCCATATAAACGGTGCCTTAGCGCTATAACTTTTTATTTATCTTTTCGGTCATCAGATGGTAAGCTTTTATGCCTTGTCCAATTTACTATGCTTACCCTTAACGTTTTAATCTCGGATTCCTGAAGAGTTTTTCTTTACGACTAGATCTTTCTTATACCAATTTCCTTCACTGTTTTTAAAACCGACAATTGTAGGAGGTCATTTCATACGAATAATGGCTGAATCTAGTAGGAAATAAAAGCAAAAACCAAGTTTTCCATAATCTCAGTTAAATGGAGTAGGCCACTCTTGGCTGATTACCGAAAACGGTCGTTGGATGTTCCTTAATTGCTTAGCGGTACACAAGCGACGATATCGCTTTTAAACGCGATTGATTCTAATTTCATTTGGCACTGATGTGTCTAGTTTGTTCAGTCAATAAACTGTTGGTGGGAAAGATAACGAAGTCGGCTTTCTAGACACCGTAATTTATGCCAACTAAATATCTTGGCTCTCGTTAGCCCGGACTCCACATAACTCCGTTCTCGACCAGGGGTTTGTACTACAGTTCAGGCTTTGACGATGGTTTAAAAACAAACCTGTAAAGAGGACGCATGCTTATTTTGTTGAATTGACATCTAAGTGAGTTTCGTAACTTATACCCATCCCTCTCAAGGCTTAAACCTCGGGCGTGTATGCAAAGTCATACTCCCACCATTATAGAAGGGGTGGGGGTTGATGGAACCTCTTCCCTGAGTTTTTGATAATGTTAAAGTGTTTCGAAACGATTTTGCCTTCAATGGAAAGCCTTTGATCTTCTCAACAAGATGAGGTATATTTCCTGGCTAGTGGCGTTGCTGGAGTCCTGTGACGTCACTAAACATGGTCGCCATCTTGGATTTTATCAAGAATTAGAAGTCAAACAAGCTCCCAACATAAGTGGCTTCATAGCTCAGTTGGTTAGAGCATCGCACCGGTATCGCGAGGTCGCGGTTAAATCCGTTGAAGTCCTGAATAATTTCAGGCTTCTTACGCAACTGCATAAATTGCGTTCAAAACTGCGAGGATCATTCTTTATTTGATTTAATTTAATTAGAAATCAGGTAAAAACCGCGATATTTTTTGTGCTTAACATGAAAAATAACACATGAATATTAAGTACTTTGCATCACTTTATCCCCAGCTTTACTTTTATTGCTGACAGTATTTCAAAAACATGCACTTTCACTCAAAAATGGCTGGACCACCTGCTACTTATGACGTCATATCTCGCAACCACAGTAACTGACCATCACTAATCTTGTCGCAAAATGCGCGGGAGGGATAAAGGAACAGCTACTGAAAACTTCAGGTGCCGGTGTTTTATCGTCTAGGAAAAGAATCAGAAAACCCTCGGAGGAGGGTTGTTCACCACTCCTCCCCCCCCCTCCTCACCCCCGTTGTGGGTTCGAGCTTAACCTCGACTTATTTTATAATAGACCTCTTTAGCTTGTATGTTTTGTTTCCCCGATGAAGGTCTCCGGGAATCTGGAGTCTTTTCATAAATCATGCATACATATGCATGGGAATAAGACGAAGTTTGAATGAAACAGTTCTCTAGGCTGTTATCATGTGAGCTACGTTGGGAAAACAAAGCATACAGGTTACAGAGGCCTAAATGCTACAGTTTCCGTTATGTTAACAATTGAAATGACAGTACTTGAGGTTTTTTTGACAGGGAGTCATCTTAAAGGCAATGAAAAACTTCCAAAATTAGTTAGTGCGCCTGCGCCTACGAAATCGCAGTTTAAATGACGCTCAGCAACGAAAAATACATTTCTTTTGTTTTATTCCCCTAAAACCCAGAACCAATTATGAACTTTAATATATGGAATTTGGTCTATTATAGTCATTTTGATCTCAAACACTTCGCTGTTTCCACCGTTTTGAAACAGAGGCTAACAGAAAATTTCCAGACACAGTTTAAAAGATCCTGTCAATGCTCATCACTGGAGTTTAATAATTGATATTAATAACTTTAGTCTCAAGGTCTCGTAATTTTAAAGCAGTGAATTAAACTTTCTGAGTCGAGAGTTTCAATGCTTTTTAAAATATTAGGGAACCTTGAGACTACAAAGTAGAATATATAGCCTGTACGTTTAAAATGGCTTCTTGCGCTTGCTGGAACAAAATTGTTATTGCCAAATGGTAGCGACAAGTTGATATCTGGACTTAAATATTCAGACAAAACTTAAAGTTCCCAGAATAAACTTTTGTGAAGCAACATCATATGATATTGATAAAGCACCTTTAGTTGATCAGTAAAATCACAACCTTAGCACAAAGACTATCACGTGCTGACAACTGTGGCTAATCTGGGAGCTACATATAAACGGGGAGTTCAATGGTAAAATGCAGGGGTGCTCGAAGCATCCATATGCAACCCGGGCCTCTTTGTTTTTAGCGGAGCTTAGGGCTCTCTGCATAACAAAACTACATAGTTACCACCGGTTAAGATTGACGCCACAGATCGACATATTACTTTATTACCAAGGTGTTCGCCGGTTAATCGGGGTCTTATTATCGACATTACGATCATCAATTTATGGATACTAAGACTAAAGCAGGCTCCTGAGCATATAACTGAAAAGTAACAGAACAGTGAAGTAATTTGTATTCTATAACTAAACATAGTTACCAACACAAGACACACACTTGTGATCATTCTATAGCAGTACCAACAATACAGAGCAAAATAGAATATGCATACCGTAAACTGCTGCCGCATACAAGCCTCCACTTATAAGTCCTACCTCCTAGTTATAAACCCATCTACTCTTAAAAAAAAAAAAAACATCCGATTATTAGCACCCCCTGCCCCGCCCCCCCCGGATATAAGATCTCTCAAAAATGAATTGAAATGATTCGATTTGATATGAAGTTTGAAGTTTAATTAAAAACCAGTTAATGCCAAAAGTATTTTGGTCAGCACTACTCTCGCTCGTTTCGAAGCACTTTTTCTTTTCCGGTTATAACGTAATCCCCTCGGATATAAGCCCCTCCGTTTATAACTCCTGCGTAAAACCCCTTACAAAGACGTATCAGCCTAGGTCTGAGGGTGCTAATTGGGGTACCCAATTCTCAGTTAACTACTAATTTTTCGGCCAAATCTCAGTTAATGGGGCTGTGTCACGGCAGTCCAGTTCATTTTGGCCAATTAATTTTGCCAATTACTCGCCCTCAATCGCTATGGAACTTAAAGTAAGGAAAGAAATTACATGTAGGGTAAACGACAAAGTCAGAGATTCGAGACAAAAAAATATGTCTCCTGAACAAACAGCAGAGATAAACTGTGAAAAACTGTTAGGCTGAACAGTTTTCAAAAACCCTAATTTCAATCCGTTTCAATCCTCTCCATCCGCGGCATCTTTTGTTTCTGTTGTGTTATATTAACCTTCCTTTAACCTTTTAAGCCGTTATTTGTGTGTTTCTCTTGGATTTAACGAGCATTTTGTAATACCTAATTTGGCTGAATTTCGTGACACAGCTCCTTTAACTACTATGTTTTTTTCGCCAATTCTCAGTTAACTTCTAATGTTGGTTAGGTATTAACTTTCACTTTCTTACAGCGAATATTGTTCGGACATAATCCAAATTTTCTTTACTTCAGCACGTCAATCACTTTTGGGGGTGGACCTTACTAAAATCAAGGTTACATGAATTCCCATAAACTCCTCCACTAGTACAATTTGTGAGTAACTGAAAATATAGAACGTAACATAACATAACAACTTTATTCAAGTGTCGATGTGTTTAGCTAATACAAGCTAATTGAGGAGACGAAGTTAATAACAAAACATTTAAAGAAGTTTACAGTACTAGAAAATAACAAGTAGATTTGTTGCTAGCAAAGTAGCAACAAATGGGGATGCCGTAGGTGATACGCAGTTGAAGCTTTCGCTCGCAGCTGAATCAATGGTTCCACAGTTTGCTCCCAGCAATTTTTTTATCTGCATTGGAACTCAAACCGCGCTAATATTTTTTGTTGAAACTGAAGTCTAGCGACTGATCTCCCAAAACCTCCTCAGCAGTCTGTGCTGC